TTTCCCTTAAGACATTGGCTGATATCTCAGTCTTTCTTTACTTCTTCCATCAGGTACCTGGCAGAGTGGATGGTAAATGGATATCCGTCAGAAAATGTCTGGCCTCTGGATTTGAAACGTTTTGGTACTCTTCAGAGCAGTCGCACTTTCCTCCGTCACCGTGTGATGGAAGTAATGCGTAAGTGAGGTCTCTGCATTCAGCGCTGGCCAGGATGTCCAAGATTTTCCTCTTTGCTGCCCTGCCTCTCTTCTGTCATCACTCTGAGAACCATTTTCCTTCTTCCTGGCCTCCTTTGTGGCAATACAGCCTCTTCCCAGGAGAAAGGAAAGGATGGTGGTTTTTTGTATTGGCAGTGTTCTTATTAACTTTTCTTAAAGAAATGCTGTTGGTACCATGCTTTCTCCTGTTTCTGTGCTTTGCCTGTGGTGTGGGGATATTTGTGCATGTCTTTGTAGGACTCCAGCCTAATAGAACAATACCAAGGTATTAACTGGGAATATTATGATGTCTCAACCATTGTTATTCTTTACACATCATTACAGTGTGGAAATACTGTCACTTCCACCTTATGAGTATGTGATCCAGTTATCTTACATCATTCAGGAAGTCTTCGTAGACATATGCTGCTTTCTCCTGTCAAAGTTTGCGATAAATACCTTGCAGAACAGATTCGAGATGTTGTTGTTCCTGTCTAAAACTATACTTAGTTTCCTCCTATTGTTTGATTATCTGTCCTGAGATAATGTCGACAACTTCTTTTCAAGTTCCAAATAGAAGTATGAAGTGCTCCACAAGTTGCAAAGCATGAACGATTATTTGAATACCATGTCTAAACTAAAAACACGTGTTGGGTGAAAGCAGAGAAGTTGGGTAAACCTCTTAGCCCTGCTGTATCCAGGAAATAAAAACCTTATGCTTTGACCTTCCTCTCTCTATACTCTTGGCATTATTCTGCAGTTGCTTTCCAATACAAATCTCGATTCTGATAGCTACAGAATCACTTTAGGTTTTACAAGATAAGTACTATATTCAATTTCTGTGATGTTATGTTTCCATTCTAATCTATTCTTCCCTCTGCCTACTCCTTCAGGAGTACCAATACCAGATAATGCCAATAAAATCATTAAATCATTAGCTATGAGGCAAAACCAATAGAAGTATTCAGTAAGAAATGCTCGGCTCATCTTCAATTTTAAGCGGTTTATGACCTACGTAGTAACTTAACATTTATAAAGCAGTATTCAAGCATCCTTGAGTTATTACTCCCCACTGGTAACCAGGGAGGATGCTAAACATGTATTCGGGTAACTTGTTTTCTAAATCAGAATATTCTATATTGGCTGAAAAGATATAGGAGCCATTTGGAAAAGCTTCAATAATTAGAAAAGGCTGAACTGCCAATATTTAAGAAGGTAAATTAGATGATCCTTGTAGCTGTGGGTTGCCAACCCAGCATTAGTATTGTCAAAATGGTAAGTGTCTGATATAGTGTGCTGTCAGGTAAGAATCATGCATAATTAATGCTAGTCAACATGACCATGAAAAACAGAGAGTGTTTGTTGTCTTGACAGTATTGTCATGAGACTGTAAGTATTGTCATGAGACTGTAAGTATTGTAAATATAGGCGTTCTGTGCAAATATTGTTACTTTGATTTTGAATAGCTATAAATGGATCAAAATAGATTTGCCAGTTTCCAAAAATGGAAAAGAAAGGTCAGGACTGTTTTGAGGGAATTTCATTAGTGGTTCAGATAGTAGTAAGTATGTTTATTGGTAATCTGAAAGAAAATTTTCGATCAAAATAATCACTTAGCCTAATAATGGATTTTTGTAACCGTTGCAGCCCTCATGTGTGATCTGAAAGTTCCCCGTTGGGACTTCCAGACTGGCAGGCAGCTGCGTACTTCACCATTGTACGACCGTCTGGATGCCCAGGGAGCTAGGTGGATGGAGAAGCACGGATTTGAGAGAGTCAAATATTTTGTCCCACCTGGGAAAGGTGAGATCATATTTTCCTCTGCCTAGTGCATCCCTATTGGTCTATGTAAGATCTTAGTTCATCCACTTGATGAATTGTCCCTTTGATTCTTTACGTTAGATCTGCTGGATTTGGATCAGAGCAAAACCTTTTACAAACCAGACTGGTTTGATATTGTGGGTTCCGAAGTCAAGTGCTGCAAGGAAGCGGTTTGTGTCATTGACATGTCATCTTTTACCAAGTTTGAAATAAGCGTAAGTACCTGGGAAGTGACAAAGCATCAGCCTGGTGAAAGTGGCCTTTAGTTTCTTATTGACTGCTTTTGCAAAATTCTGTGTGTCCTGTTGAGGATAGACAGAGGAAGTCAAGCTGTATGACCAAATTCAGGTTGTACCACAATACTTAGCACAGATTGCTTTCTGTCTGTCGAAGGCCCAGTTTATAGAAATACCAGCTTAGTCTATAAATAGAATTTGACCTCAGGCGCTATGTCACGTTGTATCCTATTACGCTTGAGACATCAGTGTCACTATCATTACAAATTGAAAGAATTTGGGCCAGGACGTTGATGCGATCTTAAACTGCCCCAGCGGATTTGTATGGCTCAGACAGCTTGTCTGACTTTCTCTCCCTTTCAATTCATGTAGTCCACAGGAGACCAGGCCCTGGAGAGTCTGCAGTATCTCTTCTCAAATGACCTGGATGTGCCAGTTGGGCATGTTGTGCATACAGGCATGCTTAATGAGAAAGGAGGTTATGAGAATGACTGCAGCATAGCACGATTGAGCAAACGCAGGTAGGTACGCAGACAGCATCTTTATCCATCACCCTTTGGGTGTTAGAGCCTTTAAGAACCTCTTAATGGAGATCATAAACTTTTTTCCCCTTTGTAAAGAAAAAAGAAAAGTCTTGATTCTCCACTTATGTTCCTAATTCAGTAAATCAAATGAGAGGGAGCTCTCAAATTTACCAGTATTGGGCAAAATACGCCTTTTTCTGGGACTACAGATGAACATAGATTTCTACAAAATGTTAGGTCTTCAGATGTTTAATTTCTCAATTGAAAGACAAGTTGTTTTCAGCAGTCATTAGAGTTTATTAATTTAGGTAATCATTTAAAGTGCAAACCAAACGGTTCCTCATTGGCTCCTGGCCAATCTCCTCATTGGAATTGCATGCTGAAAATACTATTTTTTGATTATTTCAACTTTCATTGCAGTATGGGTACTCTAATTCTCAGCTCTGCAGTCTCTCGTGGTTCTTTTCTGTGCTCTCTGGTGCAAACTGACATGATCACAGGATCTCATCCTTAGACTCAACAGTTTGGGCTCTCTTTGGCATTTCTCATTTTTAAAAACTTCTTCATGGGCATGTCCCAGCTGAATGTTGGTTTTGTTTCTCTGGGCCATTTTCTATGCGTGCTTTCACTGTATTGGTGTGAAAGCATTCTTTGCTGCTCTTTCAATTAGAAACAGCTTTTCTTTCTCTTCCTATTCTGTCTGCATTCATGTATTGCGTAAAAGTATTGTCCTTCTCTGTGTGAAAACAGTAGCTTTCCTCCTTGCCTAGTCATTTCTGCAGATGTTATCTCTGTCAGTAATGTACTTTAACTCGCAGTTTGTGTGAGAGAGACTTACACAACAAGTAGCTCATTTTCACATATCAAGTGGAGTTCTGTTTTTGGAAACTGTTAATAATAACCACCATTGTGTGTGAAAAGTCTTTTGATGAAACAAGAAATTGCTGTGTGAACCAAGCACTCTTCTGACTGCCCAAGTAGACAGAATCACTTGTGGCGAAGAGCCTGTGAATACCTTCTGCAAAATGATTGTGACTTTTGAGATACCCTGTGAACTTTCTGTAGAACTGCCTGTGTTCCCCTTCTAGTCAGTTCTTGTCACCAGACTACTGCTAACGCTGGAAGGCTGGGGTTTCTTGCCATGACAGATGTGATGGCATTGATCCAGAGACTTTAGCTGTGGTTTTCGCAAACCAGCTTGTTTTGGTCTCCTGTTAGCTTGGAAGCTGCTGAATGGCTCCAGTAGTTAGTGAACAAAGAATGAACTGAATCATCTTGTGGCAGACCATTCATTGTTTCTTGGTTTCCATTTGTCTGTTCCAGCTTCTTCATGATTTCCCCTACTGACCAACAAGTCCATTGCTGGGCCTGGCTGAAGAACCGCTTGCCCGATGACAGTAACCTGACCATGGAAGACGTGACCTGGAAGTACACAGGTAAGAAATCACTGAAAGCAGACCTCCTTAAACAGCCTGAAACTACAAATGGTGTCTTGTGCTGCATGCCAATTAATTGTTTAAGGTGTCTAGAGTGGTGGCTGGGTCTCCTTTCCAAACAGTTGGATGAAAACCGCAGTTCAGAGACTTCCCTCTAGTAAGCCATGAGCTGGGAGACAGCTTTCCTTTCCTGCGGACTGTCAGGAGAGAGAGTTTAATGACTTTCCTCTGTTCTAAAATGTAAATGTACCTGTTAGTTCAATAAACACTAAGACTTTAGAAACTGGGGCATGTGTATATGCAAGTTAGACACCAGGCAAGACCTCTCCAGTCTCATCCTAATACCGTTATCTTCCCCTCTTTAGCTCTCAATCTTATCGGCCCTCGTGCTGTGGATGTCTTGTCAGAGTTGTCGTATGCCCCGATAACTCCAGAACACTTCCCCTCTCTCTTCTGCAAGGTGAGTGACTGTGCTTCCTTCCTCCTCACCCTGCTAGGTTTTTTGAAGCATGTGTGGAAGGAGGGGAAGAATTATGTTTTGGGTAGTTAGAGGAGAATTTAGATTTACATATAGATTTACTGCAGTTACCGAGCTAGGTTGGTAACGTACTCACTAGGTTCACTTTAACGATTTCTCTTTGGGTTCTGCTTGCTAAATATATAGGTGAATATGCATTTGTTTTCAGTATTCCACTCACTGTAGGCTTGGTGCCATTTGATATCTTGGCATATTTCATATAATCAATTATGAAGCTGTCAGTCAGAGCGGCCGCTGGGATCGGTGACTCGGGAGTTATTGTCTCCTGTCACGTTAAAAGACTGAGCAGATAGCTGCCATTCAACTTCTGTCTCATATCTAGAATACAAGCCTTTCCTGACCTAGTTCCAAGGCTTATTGCCAAGTGTCATGAAGTGATTAAGAAGTCTGGATAATGTGGTACCACTATTTGAATTTTTAAATCTAAATTCTTTGCAAGTATGTGCCGGTGGTGAAGTGGAGGAAGGGGAGAGGGCTGGCCAGTGTGGTTTGCATTATGCATTGTGCTCCTGGATCGCTGTGCTGTGTTCCAGTTTGGATAATTTCACCCCCTCTGATTCTGCAGGAGATGAGCGTGGGCTATGCTAATGGCATCCGTGTGATGAGTATCACTCACACAGGAGAACCTGGATTCATGCTTTATATCCCCATAGAGGTAAGAGTACACTGTAGCCTTAGCTAATTAAAAGAGTTGCTTGCATGCATAATGAGAAACACTTTCGAAATTGACTCAGGGTAATGAAATGTCTGGTCTGTACCATGGGAAAGCTGCCTGCAGGCACCAGGGGCAGTTTGCCTGCTTTGTATAGCATTCCAGTCGGGCAGACCTCTTGTTCTCCGGAGGCAGGGCACAGTAACATCCATGCTAGTGTGTCAGATGCTGTTGCTCTCTCCTGGCGTTTGTCTGCAGCTCTGCGTTTCACCCTTTGCAGTACGCCCTTCACGTGTACAACGAGGTGATGAACATGGGACAGAAGTACGGGATTCGGAACGCCGGTTATTACGCGCTCCGCAGCCTGCGTATTGAGAAGTTCTTTGCGTTCTGGGGCCAGGATCTGGATGCCTTTACCACTCCTATGGAGTGTGGACGTGAGTTCCAGGTCAAGCTGGAAAAGGTACAGTGGAAAACTGAAATCAACCTCCTGCAGCGGGGTCTGCTGTGGCAGCAGGGGTGGGTGGGAGAGCAGTACTGAACTGGGAAGTCTGCCATCCAAGTAGGTAGGTATATCAGTTTTTTGATGGAGCTGTGTGCAGTGCGTAACTATAACTTATATTCTTGTACTTCATAAAGGTGCTAGAAATATCAAAAATACTCTGTCTTCCTCCTTCCTGAGCAGCATTCCCAGTGATCCATGTAGCATCCTGTGTTGCTCATGTGTGCAATGCTCAGTGTAGTGAGGGTGCTGTGTACCTTACAGGTGCTCAGAGTTCATGTTTCTCCCAGCTGTTTTCCCAGTCTGATGAAGCAAAAGCCAGCCTGTGCACCAAGTGGCATTTAATGAAGTTAAATATGAGGATAGGTGCCAAGAACAGCTGTTCTCTGTTTTTACTAAAACAGGGGAGTTCTCTGTTTTTATTAAAACATAGAACAGCGTAGAGTTGTACCCTGCTTGTTGTGGTGGCAGGTGCCATCTCTGTCACTTGCTTGTTGCCTTCTTTCTCGCGTCTTTGCAGGAGCCAAAACAAATGCTGGTATCGAGTAATTCAAAGAAGGGAATGTAGTGATTAGGGACACAAATCTCATGTGTTGTCACAGTTTCCCTCTGGTTTATAAAACATGGTAGACTTCTGGAATGAGAAAAATGGCAAAAACGAGAATGGTGACATGTTTTCACTACAGTGAAAATTAGAATGAATTTTTTAAAGGCCCACTTCACAAATATTTTTGTGTCTTTTAACATCTGGAACAACAAACATGGCAGGAAAGCTTCAGTCTGAGCTGGGCTTCTTGCTTATAGAAGCGGCCTGTCTTGATAGGGCCTGAGTTCCAAGCGCAAATTCACCTTGTGGCAGTAAGCTTGTCTGCTGAAACTCAGCAGCTGCTAGAGTTGGTGTTCCTTTCATCAGCTGATGCTTCCTTTTCTCCACAGGGAATGCAGTTTGTTGGCCAGGAAGCACTGTTGGAGCAGAAGCAGAACGGTGTGTACAAGCGCTTTACCATGTTCATTCTTGAGGACCATGACACAGATATGGACCTCTGGCCCTGGTGGGGGGAGCCCATTTTCCGCAACGGCCGCTACGTGGGCAAGACCACCAGCAGTGCCTACAGCTACACTCTGGAGCGCCACGTCTGCCTCGGCTTCGTGCAGCACTTTGATGAGAAGACAGGAGAAGAGCTGGTGGTGACAACTGACTTCATCAACCAGGGCGAGTATGAGATCGACATTGCTGGGCAGCGCTTCCAGGCCAAAGCCAAGCTCTACCCCTTCAGCTCCCTCTTCACGCACCGTCGCCGCAAGGATGAGGTGGAACTGAGTGGCTACCAGAGGGAGTAGTGCTGACTAGACTTGACCCGCTCCTTTTCCCAAGCTGGAGTCTTCTCCCACCATCTTCCAGTCCTCTCTCCTCACCCCATATATTTCTTTCTTTTCTTTCTTGTCTTGTAACTTTTAAACTTTTTCCAGTGTGTTACATTTTGTATATTTTAAAACTTTAATTTTCATCCCGATCCTGTCTGTCTCCCTCCTTCAACCCTCTGCTTGCCAGGCTCCCCCGTGCCCCAGTGGATGAAGCACAGTGCTGAGCATGCATCCAGAAGTCCGTGGGAAGCCCGTATAGGAGTGAACCCCACCAGAGGCCCTAGCCATGTGGTGACGGGAAGGGTTCGGGTGAACCCCTGAGGACTACAGCCTTCCTCTCTCCTCTCCAGCGTAAGGCGTGGGACAGCAGGTATTTGCTGCCTGTAGTTCATAGTTCAGATGAACGCTGTGACTTCACCCTGCTCTCCTCATATCACGCTGTAGAGGGGTCGGTGCGTCGATGCACACAGCAATAGAACGATCAGCTACCTCACTGGCACGAGACATAGCGTTGTGTGAGCAGCAGCCAAGAGACAGGTTTTGGTATAGTCCAGCCTGTCACTGCCCCGCTTTGTCCACTATTTTTTTTTCCCTAACAGGGAGTCAAGTAGATTTAATCATCAGATCATTGAGATGACAGGAGCACTGGTAAGTTGTTGTTGTTGTTGTTGTTGGGATTGGATTTTTTGCGTGGGGTCACTGAAACTAAATGGCCTTCTTGAAGATCAACATGTGTGTTTCACTTCTGTAAAGGAATCAGATTTGGGGTTTTTTTTATTAGCAAAAATATGGATTTCTAACAAGGACAGATGTTAGTGTTTAATGTTAATAGCAATGTTGAAATGCTGCTTCTGTTTCAGCTGCACAGTGTACAATCTCTGTGGGGATTTTCTTCCACTTTGTTTATGTGACTTGGTCAAGCTCATCTGGCAAGGTTCATGTAAAACTTATGTTGGTTTGGGGAACTTGAGCAGCAGGAGGGGACAACATCTTGTGGTTATTTTGAAATTAGAGGAAGAGACCCAGCATTTGTCTCACCTGTGGTGCTGGCAGTATTGCAAGAAACACTGGGTTTTCTTCTGGTGGTGAGAAAGCATCTCAGCAGCTCCTGCTGGACTCGAGAAGTTGTCTTCTGTTTTTCTCCTCAAATCTGCTGCACTTCTTACTTCTCTCTCTTAGTAGTACCTCAGCTGAAGGGATTGAATAGAGGGAGTGTAGGGAGTGTGGCAGTGGGATTATAAATTACTTTTCTTCAGCAAAGCTCTTTGCATCATGCTCCTCATACAGATGCTTCAGACCGTGCAGCTGGGATTCACCCCTTCTTCAGGTGTCAAAACGTGCTGATTCAAACACTGATGGTAAATGGTAAAGAAGTGGGGGGGATGCTGAATTGTATTGCACACATTTACATCTTCTTCCCATTGTGAGCACAATCAAAAGTAAAGATTCTCTTTATTTACTTGAAAAAGATCTGTTAAACGTTTTCCCTGCCTCTGCCACCCGCATACTCGTCATGGTCTTTCTGCTCCGGCATCTTTCTGTCTGGAGTTCAAACACAAGGTTGCACTGGTATCTGCCCTGTCAGCCATGATGAACACTTTCTCTATGATCTAGAACCTTTTTTGGGCACTTTCTTTTCCAGTTAAATGGCGAGCATCACAGTAAATACGAGCTCAAAACCTTGCCTGGTTCTTGTTTTAAGTTTGCTTTTTGCTGCTTTAGGTGCTTCAGGTTATGCCTTCGGTTGAGTCTTTGGTCTGCCAGTTCATGATCTAGGTGTTCTCAGCATGCAAAAGGAGTCAGATGGCCCTAAGGCAGCAAAGGTGAAAGTCCAAAACCTTTACACCTTAAAGCAGGTTGTCAGAGCAAGCTCCCCCATTCAGGGTGATACGGAAGCTGTGAAACCTGGGAGAGTCAGGAAAGGGTGTAAGAGAATTAGGGATTTGAGCATGTGGTGTAGTAGGTTGAACGTAGATGTCACTTCTTCGAGCGTGCTCTCCTTTGTGAATGGTGAATTCGTTTGTAGTGTGTGACCTCTTCAAGGATTTCAAACTTACTTTCAAATTGACATGCAAAAATCCCCCAGTCTCTGAAACGTAGTGACCGTAGTAGGACAGCTTTTTGGGATCTCGCAGCTGAGATTACCCTGCATGGCTGTTGAAGGCGGAGATTGTAATTTATTCCAAATTCCCCTATTATTGCTCTCTGAATTAAAATTTTGCCTGGTATGTCGGGATTAATTGCTTAAATGAAAGGTTCATAAGGCATCTAATAGCAGTTTAAAATCCAGTCGCTTCTTGCATGTCTTTCCCGCATAGAGGGATACTGAGATCCCACTATTCCCATGCTGGATGTGCGTACCAAGGAGGACCTCTGCTCTACCAGCCTGTCACCTGGGAACAGTGCACCAGGTCACTCAAAAATACTTGTCCCTCCGTTGGTTTTATGGGATGTCGCTGTGCCTTCCTTATCCAGGGAAACAGGCATTTGACCAAACAAAGGGTTTTATACCTGATACTCGGGATGTATCTTAGAGCAGCCCTTCTGATAAGAGTTTATTGACCATTTGTCGTCACTGGTGAGGCATGATACTTCTTCAGGAGAAAACAAAGTGTATACAGCTGAGGTGAGCTGAAGTACTTAATGCACCTCCTGAAGAGAAATTTTAGCTCGAACATTCAGTTTGTTCTCTGCAGAGTTAGAACTAGTTAAGACCAAACTGGAAAGTTAGCAGCATGCTGTCCTCTACCAACCACTCGTTCCTGAAGTATCATTTAAGTTGCAGCCAGATTATATTCTTCCTTGTGATTATTTTTTCTTTTCCCTAATTTATAGGTGCCTGTTAGTTCCTCAGGCAACTTTTGATACGGGTGTCTCTTCCCACAGCAGTTCTGACAACAAAATTGTGTTTTATGAGCTACTTTTGTCATTATGTCTGCCTAGGTTTATTTTATGTCTAGATCTATTGACTTTTCAGTACCAAAAACAGAGCGTGAAAATAATTTTCCATCATGCCAGAGTGATGCTTTCTGTAATGTTATGTTTGCTGCTTGAGACTTAGAGATAGGTGGTTTGATAATTTCAGTCTTGCAGCTCATTAACGCCTCCTCTGGCTTTCCCTGCTATGAATTCTGATTCTTGTTTCATATCCGAACCTGTAGTCTTCAGCTGCTGTTCAAGCTTAGTCGATGTAATTTCTGGCAGCTATTTTTAACCTTATAATGTTGAAGAATAGTTTGCCTTTACCAACTCGAATACCTGTCAAGGGGACAATTGGATAGCATGTTTTAAAATAGTGCTAGCTACCGAGACCGAGGAAGGTCCTTCTAGTGTCATGTTCTCTTCCAGAGGTATTAAATGGTGATGTAAGACTCTAATCCCTTTATCTGATGACTGAAAGTAGAGTGCCTAAAAAAAGAACAACAAAATCAGTTCAAGAGTTACCACCTTTAGTACAACTTCAAATGAGAAAATTAGAAATCGGATCTTGGAAGCTGCTATGACATTGTCTTAGCATCTAAGATGGTAAATAATGTGGACTATAAAATTATAAATCATGATTCTAATCCTTAAAACTGCCTTAAAATGCTTTCTGCTGAGAAAGGCGGTTTGTTCTCATTCTGCATGGTAAGACTGTGAACCTTGGATGGGAAATACTAAAATAGCATCCCCCTCCTCTGCAGCGAAAGGGGTGACGGCCTCATTCTGTGCTGAAGCAGCAGCAGGAGGTCTGCCTGTGCACCTCTTGCGTAGCAGTTGCAAGGGTGTTATCAGTTCTCTGAGTCTTGCTGTCCAGAATGGGAGCAGTCCTGTAGATTTGGTTCATGCAGGCAACTTTGCAAGAGAAACACTCAAAGGGAAGCTAACTGGAGTTTAGTATGAGAAGATAATTCCTCTTTTTGGCTAAAATATTACAGGTTGAGCATAACCCATTTTAGAATAAACTTATTACCCATCAGTGACAAAGGAAAGCGTGGCCCGTGGGGAGATACGCCACTGTGGGTGCGTGCACTTGGCACATGTAGGCTTGTTTTTTCTTACCCCAGAAGCCACCATCTGAGTGGGTTTGCTGGCGTGGCAGTGGTGAATCCATCTAAATGTACAGCATTCCTGTACGCTGGAAGGGCTTGCTTGCCCAAGTGTCGTCTGCAGCGTGGGGAACCTGTGTGGCAGCCTCTTCCATTACGTGATTTCTCCAGAGGTATTTATGTTGTCTTACCCTTGTTGCGTCCTTTCCTAAATTCTTACGTTTTTTTAGTCCTTGAGTGAGTACTGAAAGGCTTGAGTAAAAATGGTATTAGAGAAGAGGGACTTCATTGTTCACATTTAACGATCTGAGGATAAAATTAAAGCAGTGTGTTTAGGAATGATGTTTTCTGTTTCAGGAGGGTGTGTTATAGTGATTTTCACACCTGTGTTTGCCAGACTTAGTTTCTTCTTGTTTTCTCGGTGCTGACTCCAGTATCCAGATTTGATGTGCCTTTTTGGACAGTTTCTTATTATTATTTTGTGGCAAGGAGGGGAGGCTATGTGAAACTTGCACTGCATCTCCAAGTCTTGGTGTAAGCCTGGATTCCTCCTTTCTGCTGTTGCGTTCAAGCTGCCACTGATCTTGTTGCTTTTCCTGCAAGACCTCCAGCCTATGCTGCTGTAGGACCTCTCGTGCACAAGGTTCCTCTCTTGGTTCCACCAGGTGCTTCATCATCTGGGCCAGGTTGGCTCTAGATCTGTCTCTCTGCATTGATTTACGCTCTTCAACTTTTAGTTGGTGCAGATACCAACACCCGAAGCCTCAGGCGGGTTTGTGGCCACTGTATTCCATCGTTTAACCCTCCCTCTCCCTCTGTAGGGGTTTTCCTGCTCTCCTTAACACTTCCCAGTCTCCTTCCTCAGGCACCTGAGCGCATTAGTTCCTTTTGCCCATCAGGGAGCGAGGCATGGCGAAATAAAAACAGGCAAGGGAATGGCAGAGCAGCTGAGCTGAGGTGGAAGGAGAGGCGTGATAGCGGTTTGATCCTTTGCCCATTACTCAACCACTTAAGCCCAGCCTTGGAGAGATGATCAGCCCTGATTCCCAGCTCAGGGACAATCTTCCTCTGCAGCCATAGTGCTGGACACGCGCTGAGTGATGGCAATGGCTCTGGACAGAATCGGGACAGCGTTATCGAGGAAGCGAGAGCAGCAGTGGCACTCGATTTCCAACATACGTTTCCCTCTATCATTT